GAACCTCAGCACTACCCACGGTCTGCCTCGCCGAGAGTGGGAGTGAATTTGAGAGGGGAAGACACCCCCCCACCCGAGGTCCTTCAGAATCCAAACCGAGGGAGACTGAGCAAGCGCATGTTAGCTGAGTTCAGTGGCCTATTGGCCTCCCCTTTCCTACCTCCCCCACCCCCTTCTGAAGGGTTGCCAACCCTCCAGGATTGCCCTGGAGTATCCAGGAATTAAAAATTAATCTTTCATTAAAGATTATGTCATGTGATGAAACCTCCAGGAATATGGCTAACCAAAATTGGCAACCATACCCCTCCTGGAGCTAAGCCGCAAGACACCTACCCGCTCCTCCTTAAGATCCAGCTCTGCTCCAAGGCCTAAGGGAAGGTGCCAATGGCTCAGGGCTGAGCAGAAGAACCAGTGGGGAGAGCTGAGAATGGTTATCTCGTAGCAGGTCTAGATAACTCTGCGTCTTAGCCCTGCTCCCCTCCTTCCTGCCTTGTGTTTCTCAGGCTCACACATTTCTTCTCAAGCTCTTTGGGGCGGCTCAGTGCCTGTGAGTGTTGAGCGTGTCTCTGGGGCAGTACGGTGCTCCAGACAGGCTCCCTTGCAACAAGCAGCGCATAGATCTTAAGGCCTGTTGGCAACATTAGATCATCTAATCCGACCAGAGCCAGAGCCGTTCATCCAGTTACCCCTGTATTGAGCCCAATAGCATGTGTTCGACTAACGCTTTTCCAGAAAGGTACCAGTCTTAATGTGAAGATAAGAGGTGGAGAATCCACTCTGGGAGTTTGGTCCAGTGCTTAAGCACTGTTACAAATCGTGCCTTAGTTCTAATTTGATTTTGTCTGGCTTTAACTTGTAGCCGTTGGTTCTTGTTTTGCCTTTCCTGTAAGGTTGAAGAGCCCCTTAGTACCTGGAAGATACTTGTAGGCTGTAATCAGATCACCTCTGTCTTCCTTTTGATAAGCTACACAGATGGAGCGCCTTAACTCTTCCAGTCTAAAGCATTTTCAGCCCTCACATAATTTTTGAGGCTCTACTCTGCACCCTCTATAATGTATCAACAGCTTTTTAATCATGTAGACACCAGAATTCACCGCAGTACTCCAATGTTGGTCTTGCCAATGCTGTAAATACAGAGAGGTAAAAATCACCCGCCTTGCCTCCTCCCTACTCCCTTGTTTATATGCCCCACGAGCACGTGATCTGGAGTTTCTGCATCTCATTAGGAATGTAGGGAAAAGTGTAGCCTTCCTGCTAAGCTAAAGGTCTTCAGGCCTTACTCTTCGAGAGCAGTGACCCAGAAGAGGTTGAGGGTGGAGAAGGAGCAGCGTTGGAGCTAGCTGGGCACATGGCAGAGCGTTTGTACAATTTCTCAGTGCATGGGACTCAGATCACTTAAAAATGGCCCAAATTTCCAGAATGTTCCAGATGCATCAGGTTGGTCTGAGTGAGCAGGAGAGAGACTCTCCGAAGGGGCCTTTCTCAGCGTGTGTCTGAGAGAGGAGCTGGCCCTGATGCCACAGGGCGTCTGCCAGCTCGCACCTGAGTGCAGTGGCGGCTTTAGAGTTAGTGGGGCCCTGTACACAGCTTCATTTTCACACACACACCCCTTCGGGACCCAGCCAAGAAAAAGAACATTCTCTTTTATCTCCCCCAAGTTTTTCATTCATTTTTTCATAAAATCATAGAAGATTAGGGCTGGAAGAGACCTCAGCAGGTCATCTACTCCAACCCCCTGCTCAAAACAGGACCAACATCAACTAAATCATCCCAGCCAGGGCTTTATCAAGCCGGGCCTTAAAAACCTCTAAGGAAGGAGATTCCACCACTTCCCTAGGGAACCCATTCCAGTGCTTCACCACCCTCCTAGTGAAATAGTGTTTTCTAATATCCAATCTAGACCTCCCCCCCACTGCAACTTGAGACCATTGCTCCTTGTTCTGTCATCTGCTACCACTGAGAACAGCCGAGCTCCAGCCTCTTTGGAACCCCCCTTCAGGTAGTTGAAGGCTGCTATCAAATCCACCCCTCAGTCTTCTCTTCTGCAGACTAAATAACCCCAGTTCCCTCAGCCTCTCCTTGTAAGTCATGTGCCCCAGCCCCCTAATAATTTTTGTTGCCCTCTGCTGGACTCTCTCCAATTTGTTCACATCCCTTCTGTAGGCGGGGGACCAAAACTGGATGCAATATTCCAGGTGTGGCTTCACCAGTGCTGAATAGAGGGGAATAATCACTTCCCTCGATCTGCTGGCAATGCTCCTACTAATACAGCCCAATATGCCGTTGGCCTTCTTGGCAACAAGGGCACACTGCTGACTCATATCCAGCTTCTCATCCACTGTAATCCCCAGGTCCTTTTCTGCAGAACTGCTGCTTAGCCAATTGGTCCCCAGCCTGTAGCGGTGCATGGGATTCTTCCGTCCTAAGTGCAGGACTCTGCACTTGTCCTTGTTGAACCTTGTTTGGCCCAATCCTCCAATTTGTCTAGGTCACTCTGGACCCTATCGCTACCCTCCATCGTCCTCCTCCTATATTATAAGTAATAGGAAGTAAATGAAAATAAAGTGAGGTACCTTGATTGGGGCCGGGGTTGGAGCAGGAAGGGGTGCAGGGGTCGGGCTCTGGGAGGGAGTTTGGGTGCTGGGTGCAGGCTCTGGGCTGGGGCAGGAGGTTGGGGTGTGGGAGGAGTCAGGGGGTAGCAGTTACCTTGGGGGGCGTGGCTCCCAAAGTGACCAGCACACCCCTCTGGCAGCGGCTCCTAAGTGGGGGATCCAGGAGGTCTCTGAGCACCACTGCCGCAGGCGCCGCCACCACAGCTCCCATTGTCCGCAGTTCCCGGCCAATGGGAGCTGCGGAGTTGGTGGTCGGGGCAGAGGCAACGCGCAGAGACACACACACCCCAGGGGCCGCAGGGACATGCTGGCTGCTTCCGGGAGCAGTGTGGGGCTACCCGCCACAGAATGCAGGCAACCTGCCTGCCTGAGCCCTGCAGCGCCGCCGGCTGGGACTCGGGGGCTGGTTGTTAGATGAGATTTGTCCTGCATTTTGGGGGGTTCCGACTCATTGGGGGCCCTGTGCCACTGCACTGTTTGTTTCATGGTAAATCCGCCTCTGCCTGAGTGAGAGGAGGGGGAAGGGTGAGAAACTGGGAGGGAGCTGGGAGCGAGTGTGGCGCAGTCCAGCTGGGCGGGGACTGGAGGGCTGCCTGGAACTGGTTTGTTTGCTGCCAGCTCGGGCTTCCACTCATTCTCTCTCTCTCTCTTTTCTTTTCAAGGTCCTGGCCACGGTCACTGGAGCTATGCAGGTAAATACACCGTGGTTACTCGTACCCTTTCATATCACACAGCAGGCCCTGGGCCTGTGCCAGCCAGGGTTAATTATTACAGGGCTGCCTTGCTCTCGCCCAGGCTCTGCCGTGCCCTGCCCCTGTTCAGCAGCAGGAGTGGGGTCTGGTACCAACCCCAGAGGGGCTCACAAGCATTTCTGGGGCCTGACAGGCACAGGGAGAGGTGGGAGCTGCTCAGATTCAGATAAGAGAGAGTGACCCGTGGGGAGCCGTTGTTGGGCCCCACCCTGCCCATCTGTTCTATGTTCCCACAGGCTAAAAGGTTCATTCACTCACTGAGCTGGATTTCACCCACCCCTGGGGTCACTGGGAGAGCCAGGCTCCATGTTCACGCAGACCTAGGGTTGCTCCCGCTGCTGGAACGTCGCCCCCCGGCTTACAAACACATCCTCTCTTATGGGGTATTGACTCACCAGTCCTGTGTCCCCCTGCCATATGCACCCCGCTTTGCAGCCAGGCTGGCTGTGCAGCTCCCTGCCCATAGGGAGGTGGCCCAGGGCGCAAGCCAGGCTCCTGACCCTGTGCCTGCCTGGTGAACTGGCTGTTCGGCTGCCCGCAGGGACAGCCCAGCTGGATGGAGAGTTCCTTACTTCACGGGCATCCCACGCCTCTGAGGCCTTTAACCAGGGCTGGGGCTGGAAATCTCAGCTGTGCCTACAGGACCTTTGCTTTGCTCCTTGAGCTTCCTGGCTCCCCTGACTCTACCATGCCGGGCTCCTCTGCGTCCTTCTTTTCCTTCCATGCTGGTTTTCCCTGCTCCTCTCCCCACCCAGCCCATGCAAGCCGCTGTCCTCCCCACACTCACACCAAGGCCCAGGTCACCATTATCCTGAGCCTTGTGTCTCATTTGCCCTGTAAATCAGAGTGGGGACACCTTACACTCACTTTGCACTGGTGTCAGTGACAACACAAGCAGGGCCGGCTTTAGGCCGATTCAGCCGATTCGGGCCCCGCGCCGCAGCTCTCCACCCTGCCCCCAGCTCACTTCCCCCTCCTCCCCTCCCCTGAATGCTCCGCCCCCTGCTCCTCCCCCGCCCCTGCTTCCCGCGAATCAGAGGTTCGCGGGAAGTCTGAAAAGAAGCAGGGGCGGGCAGGCAGCACTAGATAACCCGGGGTGGTGGGGGGCACGAGGAGGGCTCCGGGGAGGCACGGCCTAGTCCGGCCCCGGTTCCGGCCGAGTGCGCCGGCCCACAGCGTGGCTCCAGCCCAACCCGCTGCGTGGCTCCGGCCCCCCGGCCCGACCCGGCCCCCGCGGCGCGGCTCCAGTCGCCCGGCCCCCGTGGCGCAGCTTCGGGTCT